CCTTTCATCTTTTTGTCCTTTCATTCCCTATTCTCTTTTCATTCCCCCCTGTTAACCCCTATGTACTGGTGGTATTCCCTTTCATCTTTTGTCCTTTCATCAATCCTCCCTATTCTCTTTCACATTCACTCCCTGTTAACCCCCTATGTACTGGTGGTATTCCCTTTCATCTTTTGTCCTTTCATCAATCCTCCCTATTCTCTTTCACATTCACTCCCTGTTAACCCCCTGTACTGGTGGTCCCTTTCATATTTTGTCCTTTCATCAATCCTCCCTATTCTCTTTTCACATTCACTCCCTGTTAACCCCCCTATGTACTGGTGGTATTCCCTTTCATCTTTTGTCCTTTCATCAATCCTCCTATTCTCTTTCATTTCCCCCTGTTAACCCCCTATGTACTGGTGGTATTCCCCTTCATCTTTTGTCCTTTCATCAATCCTCCCTATTCTCTTTCACATTCACTCCCCTGTTAACCCCATATATGCTTGAGGTATTCCTTTCATCTTTTGTCCTTTCATTCAATTCTTCCCCATTCTCTTTCACATTCACCAATCCCCTATTCCTTAACCCCTTATGTACTGGTGGTATTCCCTTTCATCTTTTGTCCTTTCATCAATCCTCCCTATTCTCTTTCACATTCACTCCCCTGTTAACCCCCTATGTACTGGTGGTATTCCCTTTCATCTTTTGTCCTTTCATCATTCCCCATTCTTTTCACATTCACTCCCTGTTAACCCACTATGTACTGGTTCTTTCATCTTTGTCCTTTCAATCCCTGTTCCTATTCTTCACATTCATGTTAACCCCCCCCTATGTACTGGTGGTACCCTTTCATCTTTTGTCCTTTTCATCAATCCTCCCTATTCTCTTTCACATTCCTCCCCTGTTAACCCCCTATGTACTGGTGGTATTCCCCTTTCATCTTTTGTCCTTTCATCAATCCTCCCTATTCTGTTCTCTTCACATTGTACTCCCTTTTGTCCTTTCAAATCCCCTTATTCCTCCTGTACCCCTGGTGGTATTCCATTTCATCTTTTGTCCTTTCATCAATCCTCCCTATTCTTTTCACATTCACTCCTGTTAACCCCTATGTACTGGTGGTATTTCATCCCTTTCATCTTTTGTCCTTAATCATCATTTGTCCCCCTATTCTGGTTTTCACATTCATCTTTTGTCCCTGTTAACCCCCATGTACTGGTGGTATTCCCTTTCATCTTTTTTGTCCTTTCATCATTTGTCCCTATTCTTTTTCACATTCACTCCCTGTTAACCCCTTATGTACTGGTATATTCCTTTCATCTTTTGTCCTTTCATCAATCCCTCCTATTCTCTTTCACATTCACTCCCTGTTAACCCCCTATGTACTGGTGGTATTCCTTTTCATCTTTTTGTCCTTTATCAATCCTCCCTATTCTCTTTCACATTCACTCCCTGTTAACCCCTATGTACTGTGGTATTCCCTTTTCATCTTTTGTCCTTTCATCAATCTTCCTATTCTCTTCACATTCCTCCTGTTAACCCCTATGTACTGGTGGTATTCCCTTTCATCTTTTGTCCTTTCATCAATCCCCCCATTCTGTTTCACATTCCCCCTGTTAACCCCCTATGTACTGATGGTATTCCCTTTCATCTTTTGTCCTTTCATCAATTGTCCCTATTCTCTTTCACATTCACTCCTGTTAACCCCCCTATGTACTGGTGGTATTCCCTTTCATCTTTTTGTCCTTTCATCAATCCTCCCTATTCTCTTTCACATTCACTCCTGTTAACCCCCTATGTACTGGTGGTATTCCCCCTTTCATCTTTTTGTCCTTTCATCAATCCTCCTATTCTCTTTCACATTCAATCCCTGTTAACCCCCTATGTACTGATGGTATTCCTTTCATCTTTTGTCCTTTCCATCAATCCCTCCCTTTTTCATTCATCTTTTACATGTACTGGTAGTATTCACTTTCCTTGTCCTTTCAACCTCCTTTTCATGTACTCCCTGTTAACCCCCCCCTATGTACTGGTGATTCCCCTTTCATCTTTTTTGTCCTTTCATCAATATCAATCTTCCCTATTCTTTTCACATTTCCCTTTCATCTTGTTAACCCCCTATGTTTCACTGATGGTATTCCCTTTCATCTTTTGTCCTTTCATCAATCCTCCCTATTCTCTTTCACATTCACTCCCTGTTAACCCCCTATGTACTGGTGGTATTCCTTTCATCTTTTGTCCTTTCATCAATCCTCCCATTCTCTTTTCACATTCACTCCCCTGTTAACCCCATATGTACTGTACTGAGTGGTATTCCCTTTCATCTTTTGTCCTTTCATCAATTGTCCCTATTCTCTTTCACATTCACTCCCTGTTAACCCCCCTATGTACTGGTGGTATTCCTTTCATCTTTTGTCCTTTCATCAATCCCTCCCTTTCTCTTTCACATTCATCTGTTAACCCCATGTACTGGTGGTATTCCTTTTCATTTTTGTCCTTTCATCAATCCTCCCTATTCTGTTTCACATTCCCTCCCTGTTAACCCACTATGTATGGTGGTATTCCCTTTCATCTTTTTTGTCCTTTCATCAATCCTCCCTTTCTTTTTCACATTCACTCCTGTTAACCCCTATGTGTACTGGTGGTATTCCTTTCATCTTTTGTCCTTTCATCAATCCTCCTATTCTTTTTTTCACATTCACTCCCTGTTAACCCCTATGTACTGTGGTATTCCCTTTCATCTTTTGTCCTTTCATCTTTTGTCCTTTCTTTCATCACTCCTGTTAACCCCCTATGTACTGGTTATTCCCTTTCTTTTTGTCCTTTCATCAATCCTCCTATTCTCTTAACATTTCCTCCCTGATAACCCCTATGTACTGGTGTTCCCTTTTCATCTTTTGTCCTTCCTATTCAATCCTCCCCCTATTCTGGTGGTATTCCCTTTCTTTCACATTCACTCTTACATTTCCTGTTAACCCCCCTATGTACTGGTGGGTATTCCCTTTCATCTTTTGTCCTTTCATCAATCCTCCCTATTCTCTTTCACATTCACCCTGTTAACCCCCCTATGTACTGGTGGTATTCCTTTCATCTTTTTGTCCTTTCATCATTTGTCCCCATTCTCTTTCACATTCAATCCCTGTTAACCCCCCTGTACTGGTGGTATTCTTTCATCTTTTGTCCTTTCAACCAATCCTCCCTATTCTCTTCACATTCACTCCCCTGTTAACCCCCCTATGTACTGGTATTCCCTTTCATCTTTTTGTCCTTTCACCAATCCTCCTATTCTCTTTCATTTGTCCCTATTGGTGGTATTCCCTTTCATTTTGTCATTCCTTTCATCATTTAACCCTGTTTTCACATTTTGTCTATTCCTTCATGTACTGACTGGTATTCCCTTTCATCTTTTGTCCTTTCATCAATCTTCCCTATTCTTTCACATTCACTCCCTGTTAACCCCCTATGTACTGGTGGTATTTCTTCATCTTTTGTCCTTTCATCAATCCTCCCTATTCTGTTTTCACATTCACTCCCTGTTAACCCACTATGTACTGGTGGTATTCCCTTCATCTTTTGTCCTTTCATCAATCCTCCCTATCTTCTTTGACATTCACTCCCTGTTAACCCCTATGTACTGGTGGTATTCCTTTCATCATTTTGTTCCTTTCATTCATTTGTCCTTGATATTCTTGTCCCTATTCTCTTTCACATTCACTCCCTTTTAACCCCCTATGTACTGGTGGTCCTTTCTTTTATCTTTTGTCCTTTCATCAATTCCTTCCTATTCTTTCTCTTTGTCCTTTCACACATTCACATTTCCTGTTAACCCCTTATGTACTATGGTATTCCCTTTCATCTTTTGTCCCCATCAATCCTCCCTATTCTCTTTCACATTCACTCCTGTTAACCCCCTATGTATACTAGAGGTATTCCCTTTCATCTTTGTCCTTTCATCAATCCTCCCTATTCTCTTTCCACATTCCTTCACTCCTGTTAACCCCCTATGTACTGATGGTATTCCCTTTCATCTTTTGTCCTTTCATCAATCCTCCCTATTCTCTTACACATTCCTCCCGAAACCCCCTATGTACTTGGTGGTATTCCTTTCATTTTTGTCCTTTCATCAATTGTCCCTATTCTCTTCACATTCCTCCCTGTTAACCCCCTATGTACTGGTATTCCCATCTTTTGTTTTCATTTGTCCTCCTATTCTCTTCAATTCCCCTGTTAACCCTATGTACTGGTTTCCCTTTCATCTTTTGTCCTTTCATCAAATCCTCCCTCTTTCATTTCACTCCCTGTAACCCCCTATACTGGTATTCCTTTTTGGTCTTTTGTCCTTTCATCATTTCCCCTATTCTCTTTCACATTCACCCCTGTTAACCCCCTATGTACTGGTGGTATTCCCCTTTCATCTTTTGTCCTTTCATCAATCCTCCCTATTCTCTTTCACATTCACTCCCCTGTTAACCCCCCTATGTACTGGTGGTATTCCCTTTTCATCTTTTGTCCTTTCATCAATCCTCCTATTCTCTTTCACATTCACTCCTGTTAACCCCCTATGTACTGATGGTATTCCTTTCATCTTTTGGTCCTTTCATCAATCCTCCCCTATTCTCTTTCACATTCACTCCCCTGTTAACCCCCCTATGTACTGGTATTCCCTTTTCATCTTTTGTCCTTTCATCAATCCCCCTCCCTATTCTCTACATTTCATCTTTTGTCCCTGTTAACCCCTCCTATGTACTGGTGGTATTCCTTTCATCTTTGTCCTTTCATCAATCCTCCCTATTCTCTTTCACATTCAATCCTGTTAACCCCCTATGTACTGGTGGGTTCCTTTCATCTTTTTGTCCTTTCATCAATCCTCCCTATTCTCTTTCCATTCCTTTGTGGTGGTATTTCCTTTCATCTTTTGTCCTTTCGTCATTTGTTTCCTCCTATTCTCTTTCACATTCACTTTCATCTTTTGTCCTTTCATCAATCCCCTATTCTCTTTCAAATTCACCCCTATGTACCCTATGTACTGGTATTCCCTTTCATCTTTTGTCCTTTCATCAATCCTCCCTCCTCTTACACATTCCTCTTTCACATTCACCCCCTTTTGTCCTTTCAACCCCTATTCTCTCCATTCCTCCCTGTACCCCCTGGTACTGGTATTCCTTTCATCTTTTGTCCTTTCATCAATCCTCCCCTATTCTCTTTCACATTCACTCCCTGTTAACCCCCTATGTACTGGTGGTATTCCTTTCATCTTTTGTCCTTTCATCAATTGTCCCTATTCTCTTTCATTCACTCCCCTGTTAACCCCCTATGTACTGGTGGTATTCCTTTCATCTTTGTCCTTTCATCAATTTGTCCCTATTCTCTTTCCATTCACCTTCTTGTACTGATGGTATTCCCTTTCATCTTTGTCCTTTCATCAATCCCCTATTCTTTTTCACACATTCACTCCTGTAACCCCCTATGTACTGGTAGTATTCCACTTTCCTTCCTTTCATCCTTTTGTCCTTTCACCCAAACCCCCCTCTTTTCCTTTCCTATTCTCCTTTCACATTCTCTTACATCCTGTTAACCCCCCTATGTACTGGTGGTATTCCCTTTCATCTTTTGTCCTTTCATCAATTCCTCCCTCCGTGTTCATTCTGTTATTCCACATTTTTGTCAAATCCTCCCTGTTAACCCCTATGTACTGAGGTGGTATTCCCTTTTCATCTTTTGTCCTTTCATCATTTGTCCCTATTCTCTTTCACATTCCTCCCTGTTAACCCCCTATGTACTGGTAGTATTCCCTTTCATCTTTTGTCCTTTCATCAATCCTGCCTATTCTCTTTCACATTCCTCCCTGTTAACCCCCTATGTACTGGTGGTATTCCCTTTTGTCCTTTCTTCAATCCTCCCCTTTCTCTTTCCAATCCCCTCCCTATTCTTTTTTCATCATTCCCTTTCATCTCCCTGTTCTCTCAACCCCTATGTACTGGTGGTATTCCCTTTCATCTTTTGTCCTTTCATCAATCCCCCCTATTCTCTTTCACATTTTTGTCACAATCCCTGTTAACCCCTACCCCCTGTACTGGTATATTCCCCTTTTCATCTTTTGTCCTTTTCATCAATCCTCCTCCCTATCCTCTTTAACACCCTTTCATCTTTGTCCTTTCATCCCTAATCTGTTAACCCCTATGTACTGGTGGTATTCCCTTTCATCTTTGTCCTTTCATCAATCCTCCCTATTCTCTTTCACATTCAATCCTGTTAACCCCTATGTACTGGTGGTATTCCCTTCATCTTTTGTCTTTCATCATTCTCTCACATTCACTCCTATTGTATATGTACCAGGTTTTCCCTTTCCTTTTTATCAATCCTGCCTATTCTTTATTCCTTTCATCTTTTATTCCCCTTCACCCTATTCTGTTAACCCCCCTATGTACTGGTGGTGGCCCCTTCATCTTTTGTCCTTTCATCAATCCTTTATTCTTTACACATTCACTCCCTGTTAACCCCTATGTACTGGTGGTATTCCCTTTCATCTTTTGTCCTTTCACCAATCTTCCCTATTCTCTTTTCACATTCCTCCCCTGTTAACCCCTTTGGTGGTATTCCTTTCATCTTTTGTCCTTTCATCAATCCCCCTCCTATTCTGTTTCACATTCACTCCCTGTTAACCCCCTATGTACTGATGGTATTCCCTTTCATCTTTTTGTCCTTTCATCAATTTGTCCCAATCTCTTTCATTCACTCCCTGTTAACCCCACTATGTACTGGTGGTATTCCCTTTCATCTTTTTTTGTCCTTTCATCAACTGTTCCTATTCTCTTTCCCACATTCCTCCATTTAACCCCCTATGTACTGGTGGTATTCCCTTTCATCTTTTGTCCTTTCATCAATCCTCCTATTCTCTTTCAAATTCTCTGTTAACCCCCTATGTACTGTAGGTATTCCCCTTTCATCTTTTGACCTTTCATCAATCCTCCCTATTCTCTTTCACATTCCTCCCTGTTAACCCCCCCTATGTACTAGTAGTATTCCCCTTTCATCTTTTGTCCTTTCATCATTTGTACCTATTTTTTCACATTCACTCCCTGTTAACCCCCCTATGTACTGGTGGTATTCCTTTCATCTTTGTCCTTTCATCAATCCTCCCTATTCTCTTTCACATTCACTCCTGTTAACCCCCTATGTACTGGTGGTATTCCCTTTTCATCTTTTGTCCTTTCATCATTTGTCTATTCTCATTCCTCCTGTTAACCCCCCTATGTACTGTCCTTTCACTCATCCTCCTATTCTCTTTCATTCCTCCCCTGTTAACCCCTATGTACTGGTAGTATTCCCTTTTCATCTTTTGTCCTTTCATCATTCCTTCCTATTCTCTTTCACATTTCCTCCCTGTTAACCCCCCTATGTACTGGTGGTATTCCCTTTCATCTTTTGTCCTTTCATCAATCCTCCTATTCTTTCACATTCCTCCCTGTTAACCCCCTTATGTACTGGTAGTATTCCCTTTCATCTTTTGTCCTTTCATCAATCCTCCCTATTCTCTTACACATTTCTCCTGTTAACCCCTATGTACTTGGTATTCCCTTTCATCTTTTGTCCTTTCATCATTTTGTCCCTATTCTCTTTCACATTCCTCCGTGTTTCACCCCCTATGTGTACTGGTGGTATTCCCTTTCATCTTTTGTCCTTTCATTAATCCTCCTATTCTCTTTCACATTCACTCCCTCTTAACCCCCCCATGTACTGGTGGTATTCCCTTTCATCTTTTGTCCTTTCATCAATCCTCCCTAATCTCTTTCACATACCTCCTGTAACCCCCTATGTACTGGTGGTATTCCCTTTTCATCTTTTGTCCTTTTCATCAATCCTGCCTATTCTCTTACACATTCACTCCCTGTTAACCCCCTATGTACTGGTATTCCCTTTCATCTTTTGTCCTTTCATCAATCCTCCTATTCTGTTTCACATTTCACCCCTGTAACCACCCCCTACCGATGGTATTCCCTTTCATCATTTGTCCTTTCATCTTTTCTCTTTCCACCAATCCTCCTGATTTTCCTTTCATCTTTTGTCATTCCCTATTCTCTTTCACATTCCTCCTGTTAACCCCTTATGTACTGGTAAGGTATTCCTTTCATCTTTTGTCCTTTTTCATCAATCCTCCCTATTCTCTTTACACACTCCCCTGTTAACTTACGCCCTCTGATGGTATTCCACTTTCATCTTGTTAATTTATCCCCTTTCACATTCCTCCTGTTAACCCTATGTACTGGTAGTATTCCCCTTTCATCTTTTGTCCTTTCATCATTTGTCCCTATTCTCTTTCACATTCCTCCCTGTTAGCCCTATGTACTGGTGGTATTCCTTTCTTTTGTCCTTTCATCAATCCTCCCCATTCTGTTTCCTCTCACATTCACTCCCCTGTTAACCCCCTATGTACTGGTGGTATTCCCTTTCATCTTTTGTCCTTCTCAATCCTCCCTATTCTCTTTCCATTCCTCCCTGTTAACCCCCCTATGTACTGGTGGTATTCCCTTTCATCTTTTGTCTTTTCATCAATCCTCCTATTCTGTTTCATTCCTCCTTTAACCCCCTATGTACTGGTAGTATTCCCTTTCATCTTTTGTTTTCGCAATCCTCCCTATGTATTCCTCTCTTCTTACATACTGGTAGTATTCCCTTTTTTGTCCTTTCATCAATCCTCCCATTCTCTTTCACATTCACCCCCTGTTAACCCCTTATGTACTGGTGGTATTCCCTTTCATCTTTTGTCCTTTCATCAATCCTCCCTATTCTCTTTCACATTCACTCACATTCTGATAGTCCCTGTTAATCCCCCTATTCTCTTTCACTGGTGGTATTCCTTTCATCTTTTGTCCTTTTCACCAATCTTCCTATTCTTTTCACATTCACATTAACCCCTTATGTACTGGTAAATTCCTTTTCATCTTTTGTCCCTTTCAACTTCCCTATTCTCTTTCCAAACCAGGTGGTATTCCCTTTCATCTTTTGTCCTTTCATCCTCCCTATTCTCTTTCATTCCTCCCTGTTAACCCCTATGTACTGGTAGTATTTCCTTTCATCTTTGTCCTTTCATCAATCCTCCTATTCTCTTCACATTCCTCCCCTGTTAACCTATGTACTGGTGGTATCCCCCATCTTTTGTCCTTTCATTTGTCCCTATTCTCTTTCCATTTCCTCCTGTTAACCCCCTATGTACTGGTGGTATTTCCCTTTCTTCTTTTGTCCTTTCTGCATCAACTCTCCCTATTCTCTTTCACATTCACTCCCTGTTAACCCCTATGTACTCAGGTGGTATTCCCTTTCATCTTTTGTCCTTTCACCAATTCCTCCCTGTTATTATGTACTGGTGGTATTCCTTTCATCTTTTGTCATCATTCCTATTCTCTTTCCTCCTCCTGTTAACCCCCTATGTACTGATGGTATTCCCTTTTCATCTTTTTTTGTCCTTTCACCCAATCCTCCCTATTCTTTTTTGTCCTTTCACACATTCCTCCCTGTTAACCCCCTATGTACTGGTGGTATTCCTTTCATCTTTTGTCCTTTCCTATCCTGTTAATCCTCCCCCCTATGTACTGGTGGTGGTATTCTTTCATCTTTTTGTCCTTTCATCAATTCCCTATTCTCTTCCATTCACTTGTTAACCCCCCCTATGTACTGGTGGTATTCCTTTCATCTTTTTGTCCTTTCATCAATCCTCCTATTCTTTCACATTCACTCCTGTAAACCACCTATAAACTGATGGTATTCTCTTTCATCTTTGTCTTTCATCAATCCTCCCTATTCTGTTTCATTCCTCCCTGTACAACCCCTATGTACAGTTGTATTCTCTTACATCTTTTGTCCTTTCATCAATCCTCCCTATTCTCTTTCATTCACTCCCTGTTTCACATTCCCCTGTTATGTACTGGTGTATTCTCTTTCATCTTTCATCTCCTTTCTCCCCTTTCACATTCCTCCTTGCTCCTATTCTCTTTCATCTTTTGTCCTTTTCATCCTTTGTCCCTAATCTCTTTCACCCCCTGCTAACCCCCTATGCACTGGTATTTCCTTTCATCTTTTGTCCTTTCATCAATCCTCCCTATTCTCTTTCATTTCCCCTCCCTGTTAACCCCCTATGTGCTGGTGGTATTCCCTTTCATCTTTTGTCCTTTCATCAATCTCCCTATTCTCTTTCACATTCTCCTGTTAACCCCTATGTACTGGTGGTATTCCCTTTCATCTTTTTCTCCTTTCACCAATCCTCCCTATTCTCTTTCATTCCTCCCTGTTAACCCCCTATGTACTGGTAGGCCTTCCCTTTTCATCTTTTGTCCTTTCATCAATCCTCCTATTCTCTTTCCATTCACTCCTGTTAATCCCTATGTACTGTTGGTATTCCCTTTCATCTTTTGTCCTTTCATTTGTCCCTATTCTCTTCACATTTCCTCCTATAAAAACCCCCTATGTACATTGTCCCTTTCATCTTTTGTCTTTTCATTTCCTCTTCTCTTTCACATTCACTCCCCTGTTAACCCCTTTCATCTTTGTACTTTCAGTATTCCTTTCATCTTTTTGTCCTTTCATCAATCCTTTCATCTTTTCTCTTTCACATTCTATTCTCCCTGTTAACCCTATGTACTGTGGTATTCCCCTTTCATCTTTTTGTCCTTTCATCATTTTGTTTCTATTCTCTTTCCCATTCACTCCCTGTTCACCCCTATGTACTGGTTGGTATTCCCCTTTCATCTTTTGTCCTTTCATCAATCCTCCCTCTATTCTCTTTCAAAACATTCACTCCCTGTTAACCTCCTATTCTCTTTCATTTCCTCTGTTAAAACCCTGGTGAAGTATTCCCTTTCATCATTTGTCCTTTCATCAATCCTCCTTCCATTCTCTTTTCACATATTCCTCCCTGTTAACCCCTGTTAACCCCTATGTACTGGTGGTATTCCCTTTCATCTTTTAGTCCTTTCATCAATCCTCCCTATTCTCTTTCCCATTCCTCCCTGTTCCCCCCTATGTACTGGTGGTATTCCCTTTCATCTTTTGTCCTTTCATCAATCCTCCCTATTCTCTTTCACATTCCTCCTGTTAACCCCCCTATGTACTGGTGGTATTCTTTCATCTTTTGTCCTTTTTCATCATTTGTCCCCTTATCTTTCACATTCACCCTGTTAACACCCTGCACTGGTGGTATTCCTTTCATCTTTTGTCCTTTTATCATTTGTCCTATTCTCTTCACATTCACTCCCCTGTTAACCCCCCTTATGTACTGGTATTCCTTTCATCTTTTGTCCCTTTCATCAATCCTCCCTCTGTTTCACATTCACTCCCCTGTTAACCCCCTATGTACTGGTAGTATTCCCTTTCATCTTTTGTCCTTTCATCATTTGTCCCTATTCTCTTTCACATTCACTCCCTGTTAACCCCCTATGTACTGGTGGTATTCCCTTTCATCTTTGTCCTTTTATCAATCCTCCCTATTCTGTTTCACATTCCTCCCTGTTAACCCCTATGTACTGGTGGTATTCCCTTTCATCTTTTGTCCTTTCATCAATCCTCCCTATTCTCTTTCACATTCAGCTCCTTGTTAACCCCCCTATGTACTGGTGGTATTCCCTTTCATCTTTGTCCTTTCATCAATCCCCTCCCTATTCTCTTTCACATTCACTCCCCTGTTAACCCCTATGTACTGGTGGTATTTTCTTTCATCTTTTGTCCTTTCATCAATCCTCCCTATTCTCTTTTACATTCACTCCTTGTTAACCCCCTATGTACTGGTGGTATTCCCTTTTATCTTTTTGTCCTTTCATCAATCCTCCCTATTCTCTTTCCCATTCCTCCCTGTTAACCCCTATGTAAGGTATTCCTTTTCATCTTTGTCCTTCCATCACCTAGTATTCTCTATTTCCTCCTGTAAACCCCCTTTTGTCCCTTTCATCATTGTCCTTTCATCATTCCTCCCTATCTCTTTCACATTCACTCCCCTGTTAACCCCCTGTACTGATGGTATTTCCTTTCATCTTTGTCCTTTCATCAATTTGTTCCTCCTTATTCCTCCTTTCACATTCACTCCCTGTTAACCCCTCATGTACCAATGGTATTCCCTTTCATGATTTTGTCCTTTCATCAATTTGTCCCTTCATCAATCCTGCCTATTCTTTCACTCCCCCCTGTTAACCCCCTATGTACTGAGTGGTATTCCCATTTCATCTTTTGTCCTTTCATCATTACTCCCTATTCTCTTTCCACATTTCACTTTCACTTTTAACCCCATATGTACTGGTAGTATTCCTTTCATCTTTTGTCCTTTCATCTTTTGTCCCTATTCTCTTTCACGTTTCCTCCTGTTAACCCCTAATGTGCTTCTAGTATTCCTTTCATCTTTTGTCCTTTCATAAATCCTCCTATTCTCTCTTTCACATTTCCTCCTGTTAACCCCATGTACTGGTAGTATTTCCTTTCATCTTTTGTCCTTTCTCGTCATTTGTCCTATTCTCTTTCACATTTACTCCCTGTTAACCCCCTATGTACTGGTATTCCTTTCATCTTTTTTCCTTTATCATCCTCCCTTTCTGTTTGATGATTTCTCCCTTTTACACCTATTTTAGTTTTTCGTCATCTTTTGTCCTTTCATCAATCCTTAGTTTCTCTCATTCTTTCCCCTTTCATAGTATTTGCTCATTTTTACTTTATCACCTCCTATTCTGTTTCATCATTCCTCCTTTTCATCCCCTTTGTACTGGTATATATTCCCTTTCATTTTTTTGCTCATCATCAATCCTCCTATTCTATTTCACATTCACTCCCTTTAACCACCTATGTACTGGTAGTTTGACCTCATTATTTTTTGTCTTTATTTTTTTCCTCTTCGTTTTTAGTATTCACTCCCTGTTAATTTCATGTAGTGTTATTCATTTTTGTCCTTTCATCAATCCTGATTCCCTCTTTCCATTTCATCCATTTTAACCCCCTGTACGTATTAGTTCATTTTTTTCATCTTTTTTCCCTTCATCCATTTTCCTATTATTTTTTCCTCCCTTTTAACTTCTCATCTTTACACTTCATCTATTTAGTTTCATCTTTTTTCCCATTCATTTTTTTTCCCTATTCATCTTTCCCTTTCATCCATTTTTGTTCCCCTAAATTTTCCTTCATTTTATTCCTTTCATTTTTTTTCCTTTCATCAATGATCTCCCTATTCTCTTCATCCATTTTAGTCCTCTTAACCCATTGCTTCTTTTTATTGCCTTTCATCTTTTGTCCTTTCATCCTTTCTATTCTCTTTCATTCCTCCCTTTAATTTTCTTATGTACTCTTTGTCCTTTCATCCATTTTATTCTCTTTCAATCATCTCTTTCACTTTCAGCCCCTTATGTACTGGTAGTATTCCCTTTCATCTTTTGTCCTTTCATCCAATTTGTCCCTGTTCTCTTTCACATTCATCCCTATTAACCCCCTATGCACTTCTAGTTTTAGTTTCATCTTTTCTCCTTTCATCAGTCCTCCTATTCTCTTTCACATTTCCCTCCTGTTATCCCCATTTTGGTTGGTATTTCTTTCATCTTTTGTCCTTTCATCATTTGTCCCTATCTCTTTCACATCATCCCTTTTAACCCCTATGTACTGGTAGTATTCCCTTTCATCTTTTGTTTTTCATCAATTGTCCCTATTCTGTTTTCACATTCTCCCTTTAACCACCTATGTACTGGTCCATTCCCTTTCATCTTTGTCCTTTCAATCCCTCCTCCTTTCTCTTTTTTTTTAGTTCGTCATCTTTAACCCCCCCTATGTACTGGTAATCCTCCCTTTCATTTTTTTTCATTCCTCTATTCTCTTTGTTATTTCCTTCATCCCCCTTTTACTTTTTCCTTATCATTTTGTCCTATTCTCTTTCACATTCATCCATTTTAGTTCCTATGTTTTGCTTCATTTTATCTTTTACATCATTTTTCCTTCATCCATATTAGTTCACTCTCTGTTTACCCCATATTTTTTAGGCAATTCTTTCATCTTTGTTTTTCATAATCCTGCCTATTTCTTTCCCCTTCCTCCTTTAAACCCCTTTTTATGTTTTGCATTTTGGTTTCATCTTTTGTCCTTTCATCAATTTTTACTTTCTCTTTCCACATTCACCTGCTTCCCTATGTATTTAGTCTGTCATTTCCCTTTTGAGTCCTTTTATGTTTTGTCCTATTTTTTTTCATTTCTATCTTCCATTCATCCATTTTAGTTTTTTGTTTTCCTTTCATTTTTTTTTTTTCATCACTTTTCACTTCTCTTTCAGTTCCTCCCCTTTGTTTCCTATTTTTTAGTTCCTCATCTTTATTTCTTTCATCCATTTCATCATGTTTTGCTATTCTCTTTCAGTTCATCCCATTTTCTCTTCGTCCGTTTTAGATCCTTCCATTTTTTTGTCCTTTCATCAATCCTCATCTTTCCTTCATCCTCTTTAACCCCCTCTGGTAGTAGTTTTTCATCTTTGTCCTTTCTAGTCTGTCATCTTTCATTTCCATCCTGTTAGTTCCTATAGTTTTATTCCCTTTCATCTTTTGTCCTTTCATCAATTTTTCTCTTTCCATTCGTTTGATAACACTATTTGCCTTCATCCCTTTCATCTTTTGTCCTTTCATCAATTATCCTATTCTCTTTCATTCATCCATTTTAACACCCTTGTGTTTTCCCTTTTATCTTTTGTCCTTTCATTTTTTCCTCCTTTCTTATCCATTTTAGTACCTTTAACCCCCTTTTTATCTTTTTTTACCTTTCATCTTTTTTCCTTTTCTTCCTCATCCATTTTTATACTGGTTAAGTTTTTGTCCCTTTTATCTCTTTTTTATTCTCTTCATTTTTCCTCTTCATCCCATTTTTAGTAATTGCCTTTCATCTTTTGTCTTTATCTTTTTTCTTTCACATTTTTCCCCTTCATCCCCTTGTACTGGTATTTTTCCCTTTCATCTTTTGTCCTTTCATCATTCCTCCCTTTCTCTTTCATTTTCACTCCCTTAAGTTTTCCTTTGTACTTTTAGCATTGCCTTTTTCTTTTGTCCATTTCATCAATCCTCTATTCTCTTTTTTATTCCTCTTTTTTTTCCCTATGTGCTATTGATCCTTTTCATCTTTTTTCCTTTCATCTCCAATTCTTTAGTTCACTTATGTTCCTGCTGGTGGTATTTTTTTGTCCTTTCATCCTCCTATTCTGTTCACATTCATCCTTTACTGAGTTGTTTTCACTTTCATCTTTTGTCCTTTCACATCAATCCTCCCTATTCTCTTTCAGTTCCTCCCTGTTTTTGCTTCATCTTTTTAGTTCCTTTCATCTTTGTCCATTTCATCCCCATCTTTCCTTTTTCTCATCCATTTTAGTTCGTCAGTTCATTCATTTGTTCCACATCTTTCTTTTCATCTTTTGTCCTTTCTTCAATCCTCCTTTCTCTTTCACATTTTTTCCTTTATCCCCTATGTACTGTTATATTCCTTTTCATCTTTTGTCCTTTCATCAATCCTTTCTATTCTCTTTTACATTCCTCCCTGTTTATTTATATTTTATGGTAGTATTTCATTTCATCTTTTGTCCTTTCATCAATTTCCCTATTCTCTTTCAGTTCCTTTATATTTTGCCCCACTTTGTTAAGTTTCTATATTTCCCTGCATCTTTTAGATCCTTTCATCAATTCATTTTTTCTCTCCACATTTTCCTTCCCTTTTTTTATTCCCTATGTATTGTTTCATATTCCCTTTCCTCATTTGTCCTTCATCCATTTCCTATTTTCTTTCCACATTCATCCTTTCCTTCATCATTTTAGTATTCCTTATGTTTTGTCCTTTTTTTATTTGTCCCTAATCTCTTTCCTTCATCTATTAGTTCCTAAGTTTTGGTAGTATTTTTTTCATTTTTCAATTTTCATCAATCAGCCTTTTTCTCTTCCTCATTTTTTCCTTTATCCATTTTATACTATGTTTTGTTTTCATCTTTTGTTCTTTCTTTACCTTCATTCTCTTTACTTTTATCCCTCTACTGTTTTATGTACTGGTATTTCCTTTCATCTTTTGTCCTTTCATCAGCCTCCCTATTCTTTCACATTCCTCCCTTTAACATTTTTAGTTCCCTTTTCCTTTTTGTCCATTTTAGTTTTCCATTTCACTTTTGCCCCATGTACTTAGTTCCACTTTTTCATCTTTCCTTCATCTTTTAGTTTCTCTTTTCACATTCCTTTTTTTTAGTTCCTGGTAGTGACTACATTCATCTTTTTGTCCTTATATTTTTTGCTTACACATTCCTCCTAACCCCCTGTTCTGGTGACTTTTCCCTTTCATCTTTTTAGTCCTTTTTTATCAATCCTCCTATTTTCTTTCCGCATTCCTCCTTTCTAACCCCCTTTAGTTCTGGTGTTTTTCCCTTTTCATTTTTGTCCCCTTCCTCAATCCTCCCTTTCTCTACATTTCTCCACATTTTAGTTCCTGATCTTTTGTCCTTTTTTTGAGAGTCCCTCATTTTTCCTTTCATCCATTTTAGTTCCTTATGTTTCTGCTTTTATTTTTATCTTTGTCCTTTCATCTTTCAGCTATTCTCTTTCCTATTCCACTCCCTTTCATTTTTTATGTACCAGTCACCTTTCCTTCAAACTTTTTCCTTTCATCAATCCTCCCTATTTTTTTTCATATTTCGCCCTTCATCCATTTTAGTTCCTCATATTCCCTTTTCATTTTTTGTCCTTCCATCATCCTTCCCTTCTCTTTTAATTCCACTATGTTTTTGCTTCCCCTATTTTCTGGTTCAATTCCCTTTCTCCATCTTTTTAGTTCCTTTTTATCAATCCTTCATTTTTCTTTCACATTTCACTCCTGTTCACCCCTATTTCCTTATGTTTTCCCTTTCATTTTTTTAGTTCCTCATCCTCCCTATTCTTTTTTATTTTGCTCCTGTAAACCACCTATGTTTTTAGTTCAACCTTTCCTCTTTTGTATTTTTAGTTCCCTTCTTTTTCATTTTTATTCCAAACTTCTCATCTTTTAGTTCTGGTAGTTTCCCTTTCATCTTTTGTCCTTTCAACATCCCTCCCTATTCTTCATCTTTTTAGTTCCTCTTTCATTTTGTCCTTTAGTCCTCCCTAACATCTTTCCTTTCATCTTTTTAGTTCCTATGATTTTGTTTATTTTTTAGTTCATCTTTGTCCTTCCATCCATTTCTCTTTCACATTCCTCCTAAACCACCTTACTGGTAACTTCACTGTTTTTGTCCCTCAACCCTTTCTCTTTCTTCATCTATTTCACCCCTATGTACTGGTTTCCCTTTCATCTTTTGTCCTTTCATCAATCCTCCCTATTCTCTTTCACATTTCACTCCTGTTAACCCCCTATGTATATTTTGTTTCATCTTTTTAGTCCTTTCATCAATCCCTGCCTATTCTCTTTTATCCTTTAACCCCCTATGTACTGGTGGTATTCCCTTTCATCTTTTGTCCTTTTATGTCCTCCTCTTTAGTTTCCTCCCTTTTTGCTGTTATTCATTTTTCCTTTCAGTTCAACATTTTCCCTTTAATCCCCTTTTTAGTTCCCTTTTTTCTTTTATTTTTCATTTGTCCCTAATTTCTTTCATCTTTCCTTCCTCTTTTAACCCCCTATGTTTTGCTTCTTATTTTTTTCATCTTTGTCCTTTCATTCCTCCCTATTCTCTTTTCAGTTAACCCCCTATGTGCCTTTTGTCACTTTTTTTTCAGTTCCTCTATTCTTTCCTTCCTTTTGTCTTTATAGTTTCCCTTTCATCTTTTTTTAGTTCATCAATCCTCCCTCATCTTTTTCATTATGTTTTTGTTTTCCCCCTTTGTACTGATAGTATTCCTTTCATCTTTTGTCCTTTATGTTTTGTCCTATTCTCATTTTTTAGTTAAACCCCTATGTGGTTTCCTTTCATCTTTTTTTTTCAGTCTTTATGTTTTCTTTCCACATTTCCCTATGTTCCACATCTTTTCATCTTCTCATCCTCCTAATTTCATTCACTCTTTGCCCACTATTTTTTGGTCAACATCTTTTGTCCTTTCATCAATCCTTTTTAGTTCCCTGTTAACCCCCTATATACTATTTCACTTTTTTGTCCTTTCACATTTGTTTCCCTTCATCTATTTAGTCTCCTTATTTGTTTTGCCCCATTTTTTCCTTTCAACATCCTCCTTTCTCTTTCCAGTTTCCTCCCTGTTTTGCCCTATTTTTTAGTTCAACATCTTTCCTTCATCTTTTAGTCCTTTGTTTTGCTCCCTTTTCTCTTTCAACATCCCTTTCCTTCATCTTTTGGTAGTATTCTTTATGTTATTTATATTTTACATTCCACATTCACTTTTCCCCCTTTCATCTTTAGTTCTTTCATCATTTTGCTTCATTTTTAGTTCAACATCTTCCCTTCATCTTTTTTAGTTCCTATTCCTTTTCATCTTTTTTTAATTCAACAATCCTCCCTATTCTATTTAGTTCACTCCTGTTTTGTTCTCCATTTTTTAGTTCAATTCCCTTTCATCTTTTAGTTCCTTTCATTTGTCCTCCCTTTTCTCTTTCGTTCCACCCTCTTAACCCCCATTCATTCCCTTTCATCACACATCCTTTCATTTTTTCGTCCCTATTCTCTTTCCTTTCATCCTTTTTACCCCCTATGTACTGGTTATTTCCTTTCATCTTTTGTCCTTTTCAACAATCTTCCCTATTCTCTTTACATTCCTCCTGTTTTGCACCTTTTTTAGTTCAACATATTCCCTTTCATCTTTTGTCCTTTCATCAATTGTCCCATATTCTCTTTCCATTTTCCTCCATTTAACCCCCCTATGTATCCTCATGTATTTCCTTTCATCTTTTTTCCTTTCATCAATCCTTCCTATTATCTTTTAAACCCCCTATGTACTGGTTATTCTCTTTTCATCTTTTCCTTTCATTCAATCCTCCTATTCTCTTTCCCCACATTCCTCCCTGTTAACCCCTTATGTTTTTGGTGGTATTCCTTTCATCTTTTGTCCTTTCATCAATCCTCCCTATTTTCACATTCCTTTAAACCACCTATTCCTCCTTTTGTTAACCTGCATTCTTTCACATTTCACTCCCTGTATGTGCAGGTAGTATTCCTCATCTTTGTCCCTTTCATCAATCCTCCCTATTCTTTCACATTCCTCCCCTTATATGTACTTTTCATCTTTGTCCTTTCATCATTTGTCATTCTCTTTCATTCACTTTTTAATGTACTTCATATTCCCTTTCATCTTTTGTCCTTTCATCATTTGTCCCTATCCCTATTCTTTCACTCCTCCCTTTAACCCCCCTGTACTGGTAGTATTCATCATCTTTTGCCCTTTTATCAATCCTCCCCTAGTTTCACATTCCACTCAGTACTGAGTGTATTTTCTTTCATCTTTTGTCCTTTCATCTGTCCTCCCTATTCTCTTTTACATTTCCTCCTTGTTAACCCCCATCTACTGTTAGTATTCCCCTTTCATCTTTTGTATCAATCCTCCCTATTCTGTTTCATTCCTTTTCTTAACCCCTATGTACTGAGTATTCTCTTTTTCATGTTTTGTCCTTTCACCTTCTCCTTTTAGTTCACATTCACTCCTTTTAACCCCCTATGGCATGAGTCCCATTCCCTTTCATCTTTGTCCTTTCATCAATCCTCCTATTCTCTTTCACATTCACCCCTCGTTAACCCCTTGTACTGGTGTTATTCCCTTTCATCTTTTGTCCTTTCATCAATTTGTCCTATTCTTTTCATTCACTCCCTTTAGTTCTCTGGTATTCCTTTCATCTTTTGTCCTTTCATCAATTCTTTTCTCTTTCATTCCTCCCTGTTATTTCCTTCATCCTTTTCATCTTTTGTCCTTTCATTAATCTTCCTATTCTCTTTCACATTTTCCCTTCCTCCACCTATGTACTTCACATTCCCTTTCATCTTTTGTCCTTTCATCAATCCCCCTATTCCTTTCTATTCCCTCCCTTTAACCCCCTATCATGGTAGTTTCCTTTTCATCTTTTTGTCCCATTCATCAATTCTATTCTCTTTCACATTCCTCCCTGTTAACCCCTATGTACTGATGGTATTCCTTTCATCTTTTGTCCTTTCATCATTTGTCCTTTCTCTTTCACATTCACTCCCTGTTAACCCCTTGTCCCTATTCCCTTTCATCTTTTTGTCCTTTCATCAATCTCCCTATTCTCTTTCACATTCCTCCCTGTTAACCCCTATGTACTGGTAGTATTCCCTTTCATCTTTTGTCCTTTCATCAATCCTCCCTATTCTCTTTCACATTCCTCCCTGTTAACCCCTATGTACTGGTGGTATTCCTTTCATCTTTTGTCCTTTCATCAATCCTCCCTATTCTCTTTCACATTCCTCCTTGTTAACCCCTATGTACTGGTGGTATTCATTTCATCTTTGTCCTTTCATCAATCCTCCTATTCTCTTTCACATTCACTCCCTGTTAACCCCCCTATGTACTGGTGGTATTCCCTTTCATCTTTTGTCCTTTCATCAATCCTCCCTATCTCTTTCACATTCTCCCCTGTTAACCCCCTATGTACTGGTGGTATTCCTTTCATCTTTTGTCCTTTCATCAATCCTCCCTATTCTCTTTCCCACATTCACTCCCTGTTAACCCCTATGTACTGAGTGGTATTCCCTTTCATCTTTTGTCCTTTCATTCTCTTTCAATTCCTCCCTATTATTATTTCCTTTCATCTTTTCTTTTCATCAATCCTCTTTCTCTTTCAATTCCCCCCTATGTAAACCATATGTACTGGTAGTATTCCCCTTTCATCTTTTTGTCCTTTCATCATTCCTCCCTATTCTCTTTCCACATTCCTCCTATTAACCCCCCATATGTACTGGTTCCTTTCATCTTTTGTCCTTTCATCAATCCTCTATTCTCTTTCCTTCCTCCCCTGTTAACCCCCCCTGTACTGGTGGTATTCCCTTTCATCTTTTGTCCTTTCATCAATTGTCCCTATTCTCCCTTTCACATTCTACCCCTATTAACCCCCTATGTACTGGTAGTATTCCCTTTCATCTTTTGTCCTTTCATCAATCCTCCCTATTCTCTTTCACATTCCTCCCTGTTAACCCCCTATGTACTGGTGGTATTCCTTTCATCTTTTGTCCTTTCATCAATCCTCCCTATTCTCTTTCACATTCCTCCCCTGTTAACCCCCTATGTACTGAGTAGGTATTCCCTTTCATCTTTTGTCCTTTCATCAATCCTCCTATTCTCTTTCACATTCACTCCTGTTAACCCCCTGTACTGGTGGTATTCCCTTTCATCTTTGTCCTTTCATCATTTGTCCCTTATTCTCTCTTTCCATATTCCTTTCCTCCCCCTTTTATTCTGTTTCCTATGTACTGGTACTGTATTCCCTTTCATCTTTTGTCCTTTCATCAATCCTCCCTATTCTCTTTCACATTCCTCCCTGTTAACCCCCCTGTACTGGTGGTATTCCCCTTTCATCTTTTGTCCTTTCAATCATTCTGTTTCATTCCTCCTATTCTCTTGTACTGGGTGGTATTCATTTCATCTTGTCCTTTTATCAATCCCCCTATTCTCTTTCCACATTCCTCCTATTAACCCCTATGTACTGTGGTATTCCCTTTCATCTTTTTGTCCTTTCATCAATCCTCCCTATTCTCTTTCACATTCCTCCCCTGTTAACCCCCCTATGTACTGGTGGTATTCCTTTTTCATCTTTTGTCCTTTCATCATTTGTCCCTATTCTCTTTCACATTCCTCCCTGTTAACCCCTATGTACTGGTGGTATTCCTTTCATCTTTTTGTCCATTATCAATCCCTATTCTCTTTCCCACTCCTGTTAACCCCTATGTACTGGTATATTTTCCTTTCATCTTTTGTCCTTTCATCAATCCTCCCTATTCTCTTTCCATTCCCCTCCCTTTCATCTTTTGTTAACCTCCTATTCTATTTCACATTCATCACTGTACTGGTGGTATTCCCTTTCATCTTTCCTTTCATCAATCCTCCCTATTCTCTTTCCACATTTCCTTTCATCTTTTGTTATCAATCCCCCTATGTTAACTATGGTAGTATTCCCTTTCATCTTTTGTCCTTTCATCAATCCTCCCCATTCTCTTCCACATTCCTCCCTTATTTAGCCCCTATGTACTGGTAGTATTCCCTTTCATCTTTGTCCTTTTCATCAATCCTCCCTATTCTCTGCCATTCCTCCCTATTAACCCCCTATGTACTGGTGGTATTCCCTTTCATCTTTTGTCCTTTCATCAATCCTCCCTATTCTCTTTTCATTTCTCCCTTTAACCCCCTATTCTGGTGGTATTCCTTTCATCTTTGTCCTTTCATCAATCCTCCCTTCTCTTTCACATTCCTCCCTGTTAAGCCCCTATTTCCCTTTTCATCTTTTTCCTTTCATCAATGCTCCCTTTCTCATCAATTCCTCCCTAAACCCGATATCTCTTTTTGTCATTTCCTCCCATTCCTATTAACCCCCTATGTACTGGTGGTATTCCCTTTCATCTTTTGTCATTTCATCAATCCTCCCTTATCTCTTTCCACATTCAACATCTTTTAACCCCATATGTACTGGTGGTATTCCCTTTCATCTTTTGTCCTTTCATCAATCTCCCTATTCTCTTTCATTCACTCCCTATTAACCCCCTATGTACTGGTGGTATTCCCTTTCATCTTTTGTCCTTTCATCATTTTGTCCCTAATCTCTTTTCATTCATCCCTGTTAACCCCCATGTACTGGTGGTATTCCCTTTCATCTTTTGTCCTTTCATCATTTTGTCCCTATTCTCTCTTTTTACATTCCCCTCCCCCTATGTATAGTGGTATTCCTTTCATCTTTTTTGTCCTTTCATCAATTCCCTTCTGTTTCACATTCCTCCCTTTTAACCCCCTATGTACTGGTTTGTATTTTCTTTCATCTTTTGTCCTTTCATCAATCCTCCTTTCTCTTTCACATTCCTCCTGTAACCCTATTGCTGGTATTCCCTTTTCATCTTTGTCCTTTCATCATTCCTATTCTCTTTCACATTCCTCCTGTTAACCCCTATGTACAATTATTATTCCTTTTCATCATTTGTCCACCATTCTTTCAACATTCCATTCCCTCCATGTACTAGTTCCTTTATCTTTTGTCCCCTTTCATCAATCCTTCCTATTCTCTTTCACATTCCTCTCTGTAAACCCCATATGTACTAGTTGCCTTTCATCTTTTTATCCCATTCATCAAAATCCTGCCTGTTTTCCCTTTTCATCTTTTTTCCTTTCATCAATCCTCCCTATTCTCTTTCATTTCACTCCCTGTTAACCCCCTATGTACTTTGTATTCCCTTTCATCTTTTGTCCTTTCATCAATCCTCCCTCTTTCATTCTCTTTCTGGTTCATTTTTCTCTTTTCATCCTCCTTTCTCTTTCAACCTTATGTACTGGTGGTATTCCCTTTCATCTTTTTCCTTTCATCAATCCTCCCTATTCTCTTTCACATTCCTCCCTGTTAACCCTTATGTACTGGTGTAGGTTCCTTTCATCTTTTGTCCTTTCATCAATCCTCCTATTCTCTTTCACATTCCTCCCTGTTAACCCCTATGTACTGGTGGTATTCCTTTCATCTTTTTGTCCTTTCATCAATTGCCCTATTCTCTTTCACATTCCTCCCTTTAACCCCCTATGTACTGGTGGTATTCCCTTTCATCTTTTGTCCTTTCATCAATCCTCCCTATTCTCTTTCACATTCACTCCCTGTTAACCCCTGTACTGGTGGTATTCCCTTTCATCTTTTGTCCTTTCATCAATCCTCCCTATTCTCTTTCACATTCCTCCCTGTTAACCCCCCCATGTATAGTTAGTATTCCTTTCATCTTTTGTCCTTTCATCAATCCTCCCTATTCTCTTTCATTCCTCCCTGTTAACCCCCTATGTACTGGTATTATTCCCTTTCATCTTTTCTCTTTCCATTCATCCCCTATGTTGTCCTTCATCTTTGTCCTTTCTTCTCCTCACATTCACTCCTGTTAACCCCCTATGTACTGGTGGTATTCCCTTTCATCTTTTGTCCTTTCATCAATTTGTCCTATTCTCTTTCACATTCCTCCCTGTTAACCCCCTATGTACTGGTGGTATTCCCTTTCATCTTTTGTCCTTTCATCAATCCTCCCTATTCTCTTTCACATTCACTCCCTGTTAACCCCCCTATGTACTGGTGGTATTCCTTTTCATCTTTTGTCCTTTCATCAATCCTCCTATTCTCTTTCATTCCTCCCTGTTAACCCCTTATGTATTGGTGGTTTGCCTTTCATCTTTTGTCCTTTCATCAATCCTCCTATTCTTTTCACATTTCCTCCCTGTTAACCCCCCATGTACTGGTTTTATTCCCTTTCATCTTTGTCCTTTCATCAATCTCCCAATTCTCTTTCACATTCACTCCTGTTAACCCCTATGTACTGGTGGTATTCCCTTTCATCTTTTGTCCTTTCACCAATCCCTCCCTATTCTCTTTCACATTTCCTCCCCTGTTAACCCCCTATGTACTGGTAGTATTCCTTTCATCTTTTTCCCTTTCATCATCAATCCCCTCCCTATTCTGTTTCACATTCACTCCCTGTTAACCCCCTATGTACTGGTAGTATTCCCTTTCATCTTTGTCCTTTTCATCATTTTATCCCTATTCTCTTTCACATTCACTTCCCCTGTTAACCCCCCTATGTACTGGTAGGTATTCCCTTTCATCTTTTGTCCTTTCATCAATCCTCCTCTTTCATTCTCTTTCCCCCTGTACATTCCCTTTCATCTTTTGTCCTTTCATCAATCCTCCCTATTCTTAACCCCCCCCCTATGTACTGGTGGTATTCCCTTTCATCTTTTGTCCTTTTCATCAATCCTCCCATTCTCTTTCATTTCCCCTGTTAACCCCCTATGTACTATCTTTGTCCTTTCATCAATTATCCCTATTCTCTTCACATTCCTCCCTGTTAACCCCCTATGTACTGGTGGTATTCCCTTTCATCTTTTGTCCTTTCATCAATCCTCCCTATTCTCTTACACATTTCCTCCCTGTTAACCCCCTATGTACTGGTGGTATTCCCTTTCATCTTTTGTCCTTTCTTCAATCAATCCCTATTCTCTTTCCCACATTCCTCCCTGTTAACCCCCTATGTACTGGTGGTATTCCCTTTCATCTTTTTGTCCTTTCATCAATCCTCCCTATTCTCTTTCACATTCACTCCCCGTTAACCCCCTATGTACTGGTATCTTTTGTCCTTTCATCAATCCTTATTCTCTTTCACATTTCCTCCTGTTAACCCCCCTGTACCCTTTCATCTTTGTCCTTTCACATTCCTCCTATTCTCTTTCACATTCACTCCTGTTAACCCCTTGTACTGGTGGTATTCCTTTCATCTTTTGTCCTTTCATCAATCCTCCCTTTCTCCACATTCACTCCCTGTTAACCCCCCTATGTACTGATGGTATTCCCTTTCATCTTTTGTCCTTTCATCATTTTGTCCCTCCTCTTTCCCATTCTCCCTACTGGTGGTATTCCCTTTCATCTTTTGTCCTTTCACCAATCCTCCCTATTCTCTTCACATTCACCCTGTTAACCCCCCTGTACTGGTATTCCCTTTCATCTTTGTCCTTTCATCAATCCTCCCTATTCTGTTTCACATTCACTCCCTGTTAACCCCTATGTACTGGTTTCATCAATCCTCCTATTCCCTTTCATCTTTTGTCCTTTCATCAATCCTCCCAATCTCCCTTTTCTCATTCACTCCCTGTAAACCACCCTATGTACTAGTGGTATTCTCTTTCATCTTTTGTCCTTTCATCAATACTCCCTCCTATTCTCTTTCACATTCACTCCCTGTTAACCCCTATGTACTGGTGGTATTCCCTTTTCATCTTTTGTCCTTTTCATCAATCCTCCCTATTCTCTTTCACATTCACCCTGTTAACCCCCTATGTGTGGTGGTATTCCTTTCATCTTTTCCTCCCCCTATTCCTTTCATCATTTGTCCCTTTCATCTTCATTCATTTCCTCCCCCCCCTATGTACTGGTAGTATTCCCTTTCATCTTTGTCCTTTCATCAATCCTCCCTATTCTCTTTCACATTCCTCCTGTTAACCCCCTATGTACTGGTGGTATTCCCTTTCATCTTTTGTCCTTTCATCAATCCTCCTATTCTCTTTCCATTCACTCCCCCTTAAACCCCCTTGTCATTCTTTTTTGTCCTTTCATCAATCCTCCCTATTCTCTTTCACATCCACCCCTGTTAACCCCTATGTACTGGTGGTATTCCCTTTCATCTTTTGTCCTTTCATCAATCCTCCCTATTCTCTTTCACATTCACTCCTGTTAACCCCTATGTACTGGTAGTATTCCCTTTCATCTTTTGTCCTTTCATCATTTGTCCCTATTCTCTTCACATTCACTCCTGTTAACCCCCCCTGTACTGGTGGTGTATTCCCTTTCATCTTTTGTCCTTTCATCATTCCTCCCTATTCTCTTTTCACATTCCTCCCTGTTAACCCCTATGTACTGTGGTATTCCCTTTCATCTTTTGTCCTTTCATCAATCCTCCCTATTCTCTTTCCATTCCTCCCTGTTAACCCCTATGTACTGGTGGTATTTCCTTTCATCTTTTCAATCCTCCTTTCTCTTCATTTGTTAACCCCCTATTCTCTTTTTGTCCTTTCATCAATCCTCCCTATTCTCTTTCACATTCCTCCCTATTAACCCCCTGTACTGGTGGTATTCCCTTTCATCTTTTTGTCCTTTCATCAATCCTCCCTATTCTCTTTCACATTCCTCCCTGTTAACCCCCTATGTACTGATGGTATTCCCTTTCATCTTTTGTCCTTTCATCATTTTGTCCCTATTCTCTTTTCACATTCCTTTCTCCTGTTAACCCCCCTATGTACTGGTGGTATTCCCTTTCATCTTTTGTCCTTTCATCAATCCTCCCTATTCTCACATTCACATGTACTGGTGGTATTCTTTCATTTTTGTCCTTTCATCAATCCTCCCTATTCTCTTTCACATTCCTCCCTTTAACCCCTTATGTGTTCTTTTCCCTTTTCATCTTTGTCCTTTCATCAATCCTCCCTCTTTTCACATTCACTCCTGTTAACCCCTATGTACTGATGGTATTCCCTTTCATCTTTTTTTCCTTTCATCAATCCTCCCTATTCTCTTTCACATTCACTCCTGTTAACCCCCCCCCTATGTGCTGGTGGTATTCCCTTTCATCTTTTGTCCTTTCACCAATCTTCCCTATTCTCTTTCACATTCACTCCCTGTTAACCCCCCATGTACTGGTGGTATTCCCTTTCATCTTTTGTCCTTTCATAATCCTCCCTATTCTCTTTTCACTCCCTGTTAAACCCCCTATGTACTGGTGGTATTCCCTTTCATCTTTTGTCCTTTCATCAATCCTCCCTATTCTTTTTCCTCCCTGTTAACCCCCTCCTCCCTTTCTTTGTCCTTTCATCACCCCCTATCTCTTTCACATTCCTCCCATTTAACCCCCTTGTACATCTTTTGTCCTTTCATCAATCCTCCCTATTCTCTTTCACATTCACTCCTGTTAACCCCCTATGTACTGGTAGTATTCCCTTTCATCTTTTGTCCTTTCCATCAATCCTCCTATTCTCTTTCACATTCACTCCCTGTTAACCCCTATGTACTGGTATTCCCTTTCATCTTTTGTCCTTTCATCAATCCTCCCTATTCTCTTTCACATTCCTCCCTGTTAACCCCCTATGTACTGGTAGTATTTCCCTTTCATCTTTTGTCCTTTCATCATTTTGTCCCTATTCTTTTTCACATTCCTCCCTGTTAACCCCCCCTATGTACTGGTGGTATTCCCTTTCATCTTTTGTCCTTTCATCAATCCTCCCTATTCTCTTTCACATTCACTCCCTGTTAACCCCTATGTACTGGGTGGTATTCCTTTCATCTTTTGTCCTTTCATCAATCCTCCCCTGTTAACCCACTATTGGTGGTATTCTCATCTTCCTCCCTATTCCTGTTAACCCCTATGTACTGTGGTATTCCTTTTCATCTTTGTCCTTTTCATCATTTTTCTATTCTCTTTCATTCTCTGTGTTCTTGTACATGGTATTCCCTTTCATCTTTTGTCCTTTCATCCCTCCCTATTCTCTTAAAATTCACTCCCTGTTAACCCCCCTATGTACTGGTAGTATTCCCTTTCATCTTTTGTCCTTTCATCAATCCTCCCTATTCTCTTTTCACATTCCTCCCTGTTAACCCCCCTATGTACTGGTGGTATTTCCTTTCATCTTTTGTCCTTTCATCAATCCTCCCTATTCTCTTTCACATTCACTCCTGTTAACCCCCCTGTACTGGTGGTATTCCTTTCATCTTTTGTCCTTTCATCTCCCTCCCTATTCTCTTTCACATTCACTCTGTTAACCCCTATGTACTGGTGGTATTTCCCTTTCATCTTTTGTCCTTTCATCAATCCTCCCTATTCTCTTTCACATTCCTCCCTGTTAACCCCTATGTACTGGTGGTATTCCTTTCATCTTTTGTTTTTTCATCATTTTTCCCTAATCTCTTTTCACATTCACTCCCCTATTAACCCCCTATGTACTGTTTCATCTTTTGTCCTTTCATCAATCCTCCCTATTCTCTTACACATTCCCCCTGTTAACCCCTATGTACTGGTGGTATTCCCTTTCATCTTTTGTCCCTTTCATCATCCTCCCTATTCTTTCACATTCACTCCCTGTTAACCCCTATGTACTGGTGGTATTCCCTTTAATCTTTTGTCCTTTCATCAATCCTCCTATTCTCTTTCACGTCCCCTATTAACCCCCTATGTTCTGGATGGTATTCCTTTCATCTTTGTTCTTTCATCATTTGTCCTAATCTCTTTCATTCCTTGTCCTCCCTTCATCTTTTGTCCTTTCATCAATCCTCCTATTCTCTTACACATTCACTCCCTGTTAACCCCCTATCTACTGGTATTCCCTTCATTAGTCCTTCATTCCCCCTTTCATCTTTTGTCCTTTCATCAATCCTCCCTATTCTCCCTTTTTCAACATTCACTCCCTGTTAACCCCTATGTACTGGTGGTATTCCCTTTTTCATCTTTGTCCTTTCATCAATCCCTCCCTATTCTCTTTCCCATTCACTCCTGCTTAACCCCCTATGTACTGGTGGTATTCCTTTCATCTTTTTGTCCTTTCATCAATCCTCCCTATTCTCTTTACACATTCACTCCCTGTTAACCCCCTATGTACTGGTGGTATTCCCTTTCATCTTTTGTCCTTTCATCAATCCTCCTATTCTCTTTCACATCCTCCTGTTAACCCCCTATGCTGGTGGTATTCCCTTTCATCTTTTGTCCTTTTCATCAATCCTCCCTATTCTCTTTCACATTCCTCCCTGTTAACCCCCTATGTACTGGTGGTATTTCCCTTTCATCTTTTTGTCCTTTCATCAATCCTCCCTATTCTCTTTCACATTCCTCCCTGTTAACCCCCTATGTACTGGTGGTATTCCCTTTCATCTTTTGTCCTTTCATCAATCCTCCTATTCTCTTTCACATTCACTCCCTGTTAACCCCACTATGTACTGGTAGTATTCCTTTCATCTTTTGTCCTTTCATCAATCCTCCTATTCTCTTTCACATTCACTCCCTGTTCACCCCTATGTACTGGTGGTATTCCCTTTCATCTTTTGTCCTTTCATCTATCCTCCCTATTCACTTCCTCCCTATTAACCCCCTATGTACTGGTGGTATTTCCCCTTTCATCTTTTGTCCTTTCATCATTTGTCCTATTCTCTTTCACATTTCCTCCCTGTTAACCCCCTATGTACTGGTGGTATTCCCTTTCATCTTTGTCCTTTCATCATTCCTCCCTATTCTCTTTCACATTCCTCCCTG